CCTTCGCTGCTTGTCGTTTTTGCTGACCAAAGGAAATGTCACAATAGATGAGATTGCCTCGCTAATATTCACTTTCTTGCACTTTCCTCCATCTGTGGTGGACCTGTCGTATTTCCTGAGGTTCGCTTTCATGGAGTCTTTGAACCTCAATCTCAGCTGACATCACAGACACTGTCCAAGTTAAAGTGTTCATTTATTCATAACTGAAGGGATTTTTTCATCTACGCTACATGTCCACTGTATCTGAGTTGGGCTGTTAAGAGTCAGATGTTTCTGCTCTTTGAATTATCTAAGCGTTGGACACTTTGACCTCCCGTTTGATCCCCATGACATTTCAAATGCATCTTGTGGAGAAAGTCCATATGCATAATATATCTGGTGTACAAGGGCTGTTATGGCACAGTGATAGTGTCTTTACCTCTGAACCAGGAGACCTTGGTTCAAGTCACATTGCTCCAGAGGTGTGTAACAGCATGTCTGAACAGGTTGATTTAAAAGAAGATCTATCTGGTCTATTAAGGGGTCTTACAGCACAGTGGAAGTGTAAGCCAGGAGCCCTGGGTTCGAGTTCAATCTGCTCCAGGTGATAAAACTCTGAACAGGTTGATTTTTAAAAAAAATCTAGTGTATTAGCCCATCTTTCTAAGACATTTGGAGGATGGGTATTGCCAGAACTTTAGACACAGTAAATTTTGTTGTAAGTTTGACACTATTTCCTTCCCAGTCTCTTGTGTAAATAGGTAAATGCTGAGCTTGCTTTGCCACCTCACAGTCACTGCAGACATTCATGGAAATTGTCCTTCCAAGATTGGTGAGTTGTGGTGTTGATGGTTATAATAGGTGAAGTTTGGTGGCGGTTGCTTTCCATTTTAAATTCATCAGTGGGATGTGGACATTGGCTGGACCGGCCTTTATTGCTCATTCCAAACTACGCTTGAGAAGGTGGTAGTGAGCTGAGTTGTGTACCTACTTAGAAGAGCATCTCTCTCTCTCAAGCTGATGGTTCATGCATAGTTTTTGACTGTTTTTGAATAATAGTTCACAATCCTTTGACACCAGGCTCACCGTGTGGCACACAGGCACAGTCATTGGCAAAAAAACAATTCCCATGTCACCGACATTCCAGTTCAGGATTTTAGTTGTTTTATGTTGAAGAGATTGCCATCTATTCTGAATCCACTGCATATTCCATCAACATTTCCAATGTGCTCAAAGCATAGGAGCAAAGAGCATAAGGGCGATGGCAGTTATGAGGAAGGATCACCAGACCCGAAACGTTAACTCTGATTTCTCTTTACAGGTGCTGCCAGACCTGTTGAGCTTTTTCAACAACTTCTGTTTTTGTTTGACACCTCCCTGCTTCACAACATTTCTTACACATCCCCCAAATGAATTTTACAAAAGCAACCCCTATCACCAAACTTCACCTGCAATAACCATCAAAAACACAACTCGCCTATTTTGGAAGCACAATTTCCATAAATGTCTGCACCATGGCCAGTGATTCTGACTGTCATACCATCGTGTAACTGCTGTGTCAGGTTTACAGCTCAATTAAGCTTTTCAAGCGTGGGTAAGACTTTCCACAAGTCGCGGAGGCCTTTGTCAGATCAATTCGCCGGAGACATACTGACGATGTTACCTAGCAGGGTGACAAAACGTTTGCAATCAAACCCACCGGCTTGGCAAGCATGTCTGCAACCTCAATAACTGCACAGTAGAGCCCCATCTATTTGTGACATTTTCCTTGTATTGCCGAAATAATTTGCTTTACCTGAACCTGTGATTTTCTGGCAGTAAGCATTTGGCTAAATAGCTGGCCAGTTTGTGAAGTAGAATCTTACCAGCTATCACATGCTGAGAGATTCCTTTGTGGTTGTCACACAAATCTTGCCTTTTTTCATGTATAAATGAACAATTGTCTTATCCTTGAACTCCTGGGGATTGATTTTCTTGATCACATGTTCTCCGATGCAATGGTGGAGGTTTGGAGAACCTGGATCCCTCAGATTTGTAAATTTGTCCTGGGTCTCCTCTGAGCCTGGACCCTTTTTGTTAAGAGTATGGATTTGATGATTTGTCAACCTGCATAAGTGAGGATTTGCATCCCTAAAGTGCTGTATCCGGTGCTCTTGAATAATTCCTGAAGTTATCAGGCGAGATTCCTATTAGTACTGAGAACAGGTCAATAACAGCATGATAAAGGTTTTGAGAGAGACTTAGGAATATTTCTACAAGAATGCACAGTATGTAGATTCAGCAAGCAAATGACCTGTTGACCTTTATTACTAGGGAATTGGAGGATAAGGAAGTCATGCTCCAAGCGTATGAGGCCTAGATAAGACCAATTTGGAATACTGTGTTGCAGTTTTAACTTGCACGTCTTAAAGAAGGATCTACCTGCAGTGGAGGTAGTACAGTGAGGGTTCACACAATTGGTGCCTCAGATGAGAGAGCGTGGTCCTATGATGAGGGGCTGAATGAATTGGGCTCATATTCTCTGGAGTTTAGAAGAATAAGATGTGGTCTCATCGGAACTTGAAGACTGTGATTCCTCATCCTGTAGAACCTAGGACCAGGGGCACAATTTCAAGATAAAGTACCTAAAATTTAGGACTAAAGTGAGGAGAAATTTCTTCACTCAGATGGTTATGAATCTTTGGAATTCTCCATCCCAAATGACTTTGGGTGCTTCATCATTGAATATCTGTAACACTGGGATAGACTGCCTGTTGGTTTCTGAGAATCACGGGATATGGGGAAGGGCAGGAAAATGGAGTTGAAGCCCAAGGTCAAACATCAATCCATCAATTGATTGATAGGGCAGGATCATTGGGGCAAATTGTCTACTCCTCCTGTTTGTGATATTTTTGTTCTGACCAGCAACAAAGCTAGATTTGCCCTGACCTTTAGGAATTTCACACTCATTTTTCTATTGTACGTGCAGTCTTTGGGGCGGATTTTCATGGAATAATTATGGAAGGCCGGACTTTAACTGCATGGATTTGGCTGATGACTCAGTACATAGACACCATGTGATGCGGTCATGACACACAGACCGAGCTCTCCCTTTCTACAATGTGAGACTATGAACAGTGTGGTACTGGCCAATGTACGAGGACCAGATGCGCCCTTTTTCCAATGTATAGAGACAGTGTGATACTGACCCTCCCTCCAGGACCAGGTACTTCCTTCCCCAGTGTGCAGTGTGGTACTGACTACCACACCAGGACCAGACACTCCCTTTCCCCAGCGAAGGCGTCAGAAAGGAAGAACTGTCCAACTCGGCAAGTAAAGTGGAACCTGACTGGATGCCAAAAATGGGTAGAATTTAATTTTACTTCAAACAAAAACAAAAGATTGGCATAGTTGGCTTTCTTTCCATCATCCGATAGCTGTGGTTTCACCCTACACACCCAATTTGTATCCAACTGGCAATACTCACATGAGAATAAGTACAGAATTATTCATAAAATTATATCTAATGTTGGATTTTTAGATTCCTGGCATGTGCAGTGGTGGGTAGGTGGGTCATATTAAGCTTCAAGGCAAAGGTAAGTTAATGCCAAGTTGTTCCATATACTACTGCAGACTTTGGTGCTTAAAATGGTCATGTTGTGATTTGTTTGGTGAGTGCAATATGGATCATTCTGCTTCCATGAACCAATAAGCCTAGCATGTTAGTAGCATCCATTTGTTTCCCTTTTAACCTGTTTTCTGTCTCTTCCAAAGTTGAATTTGGCCAGTATGGGGACTTTAGATTCGGGCTAACTCAAACAATGATAACCAAATTGCTTACTGTGTGGCTGTGATGTTGAGGACTGGATGATTGAGACATGGCTGAAGTATATAGGGGAGTGGGGAATTGCTTTCTTATCCGAAATGCTTAGCAATGCAGTCAGAGATTCAGTCCTTACTGAAAACTCTGCAATTTTGAGCTGCAATTCTAAGGTACGTTGGATGTGAATTGAGATGACCGTGCTACCGTATGCTGCTAATTCCATTGAACTTCAGCTACATGCAGATATTAAAGTTCATTTCATTTCTCCTGGTTTGTCTTGTTCTGTGTTCATGGCAAAATATAATCCTTATCCACAATGAAATTGTTTCTCTCTTGATGTTGGGAATACATAGCTGGCAAATGACACATCAACCCATTATGGTGTCTAGCACAAAGAAGTTCAGGCAGGGTTTTCGTGTCCGCTCTGAAAGGAATAACCCTCCACACCTTTAGGCCCAAATATTCTGACTAATTCTGATGGATTTCTATCTTACTAGAGCAAGATGATACAAGATGCTGAAAATATAATAGTTTGAAGGAAGGAATGTGCCAAAGGTTTAAAAACGACTCCTCTTGGGAATGTATTTATTTCTTGCGCAAGTTAGACAGAACTGTTGCATCAAGCAGTCTTTTACAGACCTCCTTGATATAAAGTTAAGAGGGGTGGTACAAATTCCAGGTTCAGACTTCGGATCTCCAAACAAACTTTGTTATTCCACTTCAGTTTTATGACGTGCCATGGGATTACTTTTGCGTTCTGACTGTGCCTTTGAAACCTGCACCTTGTGAAGTTGGGCGTTAATGCCTTGCCGCTGCCTTTTTCCGGCCAATTTTCACTTCCGTAGATAAGCAGTCAGAGTAATTAACTTATTCCCCAATCTGCTGAATATACTTTCCCGTTTCAAGCAGCTATTCCTGATTTTTTTAAAAAAAGAAGTTAACTTCTGAAGCAGCATCGTCACAAATGGTGAATATCTGATTTTGGGCATATCTTCAATTGCCAATGTAATTATGTACCCACTTGTGTGTAAGGTTATTATTGAGTGAAGCAATGAATTCATCCTGACATAAGAATTAATTGTTTTAAATCTGACTTGCCCAACTTTTATAAATCATGAGAACTACTGTTTTCTCTCATTTTGTCACGATAGTCATTGCTTTACCAATATACATCCAGGGAATGTTATCCTGACTTTGTTCACTCTTTGCTTTCCCGCAGACCATAGAATCCAACTGGAGATGTGGGAGGCACAACCTTCAGAGAATCCAGTGTCGATCGGAGAATAGCAAAGGAGTTTACTGTCTGCAGTACGATGATGAGAAGATAATTAGCGGTCTCAGAGATAACTCCATCAAAGTGAGTATTTTTATCAGTGTTCTCTTGTCTCACAAAATGGCAATTCCTATAAACAAAACTAGCACACAAGTTGCCAGTTCTGACAAGTTATGTTGGACTGGAAATTGTAGCCTTGTTTCTCTTGACACACGTGCTGCCAGACCTGCTGAGTTTGTCCAACACTTTGTTTACATATAAATATTAATAAATTCATTGTGATTTTACTTCCCCTGCAAAATACTGATATGAATACTCTGTCTTCTCTGGTATTTTAATGTGACTTGAGTTTCTCGCTCCTTGTTCAGCTGCCTGCTTTGTCCAGCTAGCAGAATTTGAGTTTTGATGTCAGTCCAATTGATTTGGACTGCAAAGTTGACTTTTATGCCAAAGCATGAGTCTCTAGAATGGGGTTGAGGGATAAAAAGCTCTATGATGAAGGGATTAGAAGCTTTATGATGGAGAAGTTAGAAGCCAGAGTTTATAAGAATGCTGGATATTGCTACACTGACAAATGTGCTGAAGAATAGTTGCCATCTCCAGCTCTATCAAATTTGAAAAGGTTTCATTCCATGATGCTGCTGTTGATAACATGATATGCTGATCCTTGTGCTTTCAGTCCACAAACTGTGCTGTCCATTGCCTTTATTTTTAAACTGTGTGTGGGACTCCTGGGTTTGTGTGGACCTACTGTTTGCAGCAGTTCAGTTTAAAATATTCTTGTGACACTTCTCCATGATTGCTTACAGGCGTTCCCAGGAGATTTGGCTTTTCTTCCTGGGAAACTCTGGCAACCAAAGAAGACTCTGAATCTGCACTTAAGAGTTACTAGACAGTGATCAGGAAAAGCAGCCCCCAGTCAATCTTCCCCTAATCTGGGGAAGCTGAAGTGAAATACACTACTGTAGCACTTTAGCTGGGATCAGTTAAATTAGCAAGAAACTTAATTTGGCATCTTCTCAGGAATCAATTCTTTCAGTCATCAGAGGAGCTGATGGATTTATTAGAATATTAAATGCTGGTATACCTTAGATATGATCAGTTGGAAGCAATTTTAGATGGTTTTGAGAGTACAAGACAAAATGCCTCAATAAAATATTTTGATCAATGATCAATTTTCTACCTCCATAGTATACTAAGCTCAGTAATGACAAGAAGGATTATAAGGAGAAAAAATTGAAACCAGAAACTAAAACAGAAATTGCTGGAAAAGCTCAGCAGGTCTGGCAGCATCTATGGAGAGCAATCAGATTTAATGTTTTGGGTCTGGTGACCCTTCCTCAGAACGTTTACAGTATCTGCAGTTCTTTCTGTTCTGAAATCAAAACCAGGATCTGTTTTGATTTGTCTGGTTTTATTTGCTATAGATTTGGGACAAACAGTCGCTGGAGTGTTTGAAGATACTGACGGGTCACACAGGCTCTGTGCTGTGCCTGCAATACGATGAGCATGTCATTGTTACTGGGTCTTCAGACTCTACAGTAAGGTAAGGTGCAGCAGTGCACTGGCTCATTAGAGATGCACTGTCCTGATTTAGCAATTTTTGTTGAATTATTTGACGTCAGCACTAGCTCCCTGTACCTGCCAAGGTAATATATCAACTACCAGGGGATTACATGAATGGTGATTACCTCCCCTTTATTTTCCCATTCTTACCATCATCCAGCAACCTATTTAACAATGAGAAAGAAAGACAAAACTTGTGTTGACCATGCATAACTTCAGGGTATCCTAAAATATTTTGTGAATGATTTTTAAAATTCTTTTGCAAGGGATGCTTGTGCCACTAGCATATCTGGCATTTGTTACCCATCTCTAATTGCCCTTAAGCTCGTGGTTTGCTCATCCATTTCAGATGGCAGTTAAGAATCACTCATTGTTTTGGTGGACAGTAACTTGTAGGCCAATTTGGGTAAGGATGACTGATTTCTTTGTCTAAATACCATTAGTGAGCTAGATGGGTTTTTATAACCATTACTGATAGAAATGTCATCCATGAAACTAAGATTGGCCTTCAGTGCCAGATTTATTTATTGAATTTAAATTCCACCACCTGCCATGGTCTGTTGTACAAGAAATTGCTTGGAAAACTCAGCAGGTTTGGCAGCATCTGCAGAGAGAAAGCGAGTTAAAGTTTTGGGTCCAGTGACCCTTCGGAACATCTGAAGAAGTGTCACCGGACCTGAAGGGTTAACTAAACTGCCAAAGTTGCTGAGTTTTTCCAACAATTTTTGTTGCTGCTTCTGATTTCCAGCGCCTGCAATTCTTTGGGTTTTATTTTTTGTTCAAGTATTGCTGTTAGCCAGTCTTCCAGGAGAACTTCCTCCTTTTCTTTACAAAGCCTTTGTATCCATCTGAACTACTGCAGTTGGCACCTCATCCAAATAATGGCAAACACTGCAACATTTCTCTAGTACCGCACAAGAACATTCACCAATATGAACATCTTGAGTCCTGGAGTGGGATTTAAACCTCAGCAAGTGTGCTGTCACTAGGGTATTGAAGTAGTGTAAGATTTGGTCTACATGGTTCAATTCCTCAACAATAATAATAATAACGACAAATGTTCTGCGACAAATGTTCTGCGACAAATGTTCTGCGACA